TGATGTCGGTGGGTCATTGCGCACCTGATGAAACTTTTTTGGAGAAAATTGCTTCTCATTTATCGATTTCTCATTTCTGAGCCAAAAAAAGCTTTTTTGGTGTTAAATATGCAAATTATGCTGTAACATCACCAATTCGCATACATGATGTTGGTGGGTCATTGCGCACCTGATGAAACTGTTTTGGAGAAAATTGCTTCCCGTTTAGCGATTTCTCATTTCTGAGCCAAAAAAAGCTTTTTCGGTGTCAAATATGCAAATTATGCTGTAACATCACCAATTCGCATACATGATGTCAGTGGGTCATTGCGCACCTGATGAAACTTTTTGGAGAAAATTGCTTCTCATTTAGCGATTTCTCATTTCTGAGCCAAAAAAAGCTTTTTTGGTGTTAAATATGCAAATTATGCTGTAACATCACCAATTCGCATACATGATGTTGGTGGGTCATTGCGCACCTGATGAAACTGTTTTGGAGAAAATTGCTTCCCGTTTAGCGATTTCTCATTTCTGAGCCAAAAAAAGCTTTTTCGGTGTCAAATATGCAAATTATGCTGTAACATCACCAATTCGCATACATGATGTCGGTGGGTCATTGCGCACCTGATGAAACTTTTTTGGAGAAAATTGCTTCTCATTTATCGATTTCTCATTTCTGAGCCAAAAAAAAGCTTTTTCGGTGTCAAATATGCAAATTATGCTGTAACATCACCAATTCGCATACATGATGTTGGTGGGTCATTGCGCACCTGATGAAACTGTTTTGGAGAAAATTGCTTCTCGTTTAGCGATTTCTCATTTCTGAGCCCAAAAAAAGCTTTTTCGGTGTCAAATATGCAAATTATGCTGTAACATCACCAATTCGCATACATGATGTCGGTAGGTTATTGTGAACCTGATGAAACTTTTTTGGAGAAAATTGCTTCTCGTTTAGCGATTTCTCATTTCTGAGCCCAAAAAAAGCTTTTTCGGTGTCAAATATGCAAATTATGCTGTAACATCACCAATTCGCATACATGATGTCGGT